TATATATGTATATATGTATATATGTATATATGTATATATATATAATATTCTTATATATAATTTGCTGCATTTTATAATGGGCCCTTTATAATGGCCTTTTATAAAATCGGTTCGGCCCTCGAACGCAGATCTGATTTTCCATGTGGCCCCCGACAGAAATTAATTGCCCACCCCTGCTATTATAGCTCTCTGGAGTAGATCTTTGTTATGTAAAATAGACTGGCCTAGGCCAGAGAAATGGTCCATTAGCAAAGGGCAGGGGAGGCCTCTCTTGAGTTTTTACTTTTCTTTTTAGGGGAAATAGTTTGCCTTTTATATATATTCTTAAATATTTTATTTTCCTAGAAGAGGGGTGGATTTTAACTTCCAACAATAAAAACTGTATCTTTCTTATTTGTTGGACCCCATCCTGATAAGACTGTACATTGTTGGATGAAAAAAGAGATCCCTTTTGTTACCTTAGTACTCAGCTTACAGCCACAATTGAGTCCACTCAAAGCACAATATTGTTTTATGTCTTTTGCAGTAGTAGCTGATAGGCAAGGATGAAAAGACAACAGAGTTTGACCACTTTCTTTGCCAAGAAACCAAGAACGGAACAATCAGAATTAGACACAACAGATCCAGAACCATCAGGGTCACAAGCAGCATTGCCACCAATTGAACATGGAGAAAGCTGCAAATCAATCTCTGAAACTGAAAGCCTTCTTGATCTTCCAGACTGCTGGACATTGCAGCAATATAGAAGTTTTCAAGAGAAGTATGAGGGACTGGAAGTTTCAAAGAAAACATAGGTTGTAAGTCTTGCACAAAACATGACTTTGCAGTAGAGAAAGGTGTTCATGGTCCAAGGAGTGGAAACATTTCAAGAAACATTTCAAGATTGAGGCAGCAGGGACAACTAAAGAAGTTCAGCAAGCTTCTCTGAAGAAAAAAATGAAAGAACATTTTACATCTAAAGCTCATGCAATTTGCAGTGATAACTTAAAACAAGGGGAGCGGGATGCTATAACAAAATCAGTAAATAAGATGTCTGACAGATGTTTATCTAGTGCCTGTAGAGTATTTTTGACAGTTTATAGTCTGGCACAAAGATGTAAACCATTTTCAGACATAGAAGGACAGATAGAATTGCAAGCTGTAATGGGTGTAGATCTTGGAGTAGGATTGTATTCATGGTCAACTGCAGTGAAAATAGTTTATTTCATTGCAAAAGAAATTAAAACCAAAATGTTTACTAGCATTATTGAACAGAACTTGAAAATATGTTTAATTATTGATGAAGCCTCAACTGTTTCATGCAAACCAGTTGTGATAATTTTCGTAAAAACTGAGGATTCACATAACCCACCAACAATTTTTGTTGAGTTTGTTGAACTGGAAAAACAAGATGAAGAGACAATATGTTCTTTGGTTTTGGAAAGTTTACATAATGTTGGGTTTACTACAGACTATCTGCAAAAAAAATTAATAGCATTTTGCTCTGATGGTGCCAGTGTTATGCTTGGAAGAAAATCTGGAGTGAGCACAAGAATAGCAAAAGATTTCCCTAACATCATAATATGCTTAAATGATTGCCTCCAACTTGTTTTAGATGACTCTATAAAGGACATTAAGCAACTGAATCATTTCAAAATATTTCTTGTCAAGATACACAGTATTTTCCATAAATTCAAAAGAGTCAAAACGAACTGTTTGAAATATCCAAACAACTTTGAATTGAAATTGTAAAGATTAGTAGAGTTTTGGGACCAAGATGGGCTGCCTTTAGTTTAAAGTCAACCCTAGCTGTGTGGCATGCTTATCCAGCGCTACATCAGTACTTTCATGTAAATGAAAAATACTCCAGTATGACTGTCCATCTTGAAAACATATATTTTTAAAATGATTTGGAGTTGATGATCAATATTCTCAATGAAATATCTCTTCTGTCAAATGCACTGCAAGGAAGAAATACAAACATTATAAAGGCCAAAAAACTTCTGCTGAGATAAATTAAAGCATTTGAAATGCTCAGACAGAGAAAGGGTCCCTATGAAAAAAAGGTTGATGGATTAATTACTTCAGAAACCTTCAAAAATATGAAATTTGTACAAAATCATCGATTTGTTGGACTTCCTTGGGAAAGACTTTTGGAAAGCATCATAATAAACTTGAAGAAAAGACTAACTGATTGTCAACATTTAAAAACTGGTAGCCAATTGCAAGACACCACAAATAAATTACAGTTTCTCCATTTTTAGGAGCCAGATTACTGGAATATTGAAGAAGTCATCGTTCCATGGCCAGAAGCTGAAGAACAATTGCTTACCTTTAATAAAATCTTTAATTACAAAATCAATGATTATAGAGATTTCATAGAAAATGTTTTAAAACTATGTAATTCCTGATAGTATTAAAAAAGCTAAAGATATTGTCAGAACAATTGCTGTAAGTTCAGCAGAAGCGGAAAGGGGGTTCTCAAAAATGAACCCCATATATTTAGAACAGAGAAGTCACCTAACTGTTTCTAACATAACCAATCTGATGACCATTAGTGTGATGGCCTACCTATAAAAGAATGGGATCCTCTTCCTACTGTCAAAAGATGGTTACGAGCACACCATCACACAGCCGATGATCCAAGGGTGAAAACTAAGAAAAGTGCAAGTGAGGAGGGCGTCAATGAAAGAACATTGTGGAAACATCTCAAATAACACTTTTATACACACTTGTGTGTACCTCCTTTATTGTTTGTGTGTACTTGTTTAAGTAGTCAGTAAACAAAATTAAAAACTTAAGAAAATACCTTCTTTCTGGAGGTCATTCATTAGGCCAAACAAGTCAGTGATGTTGTTCTGTAGGTATGTAAGGTAGTTTCCAACACTGAGCAAACGTTAGTCTGGCCGCTGTTAATATGTGTATTGTTATATACTTCACTTTTTTAGGTAGCTGTTTATCAAAAATCCATAACAGGAAGGACTCTGGTTTAAACTCGATCTGTTCTTTTGTTATATCTTCTAGCCACTTTCTAATTCTTTGCCAGTATTTCTGGGTTTCTTTACAAGACCACCACATATGAAAAAAGGTTCCATCTATTCTTTTACATTTCCAACAGTTCGGGCTCGTGTTGGGGTGCATCTTCGCTAGTCTCGAGGGAGGAAGGTGCCATCTGTAAAACATTTTGTAAGTGTTTTCTTTATATGCTGCCGATTTGGTGATCTTATTGTTTCTACTCCAGATCTTTTCCCATTCTATTAATGTGATACTCCATCCTACGTTCCTACTCCAGGCTATCATATTCCCTTTGACTGTCTCTTCTTCTAACTCTATTTCTAATAGATAGTTGTAAAATCTAGTTATATTTTTCTTGTCTGATCCTAGTAAGATTTTGTCTAATTGCTGGAATTTATTGTTAATTCCGAATTCTTTTCTATCCTGTTTGTATCTACTATGAATTTGGAGATATACCCACTGATCTATTTTAAATCCCCGCTCTTGCAGCTTTTGTCATGTTTTCAAATTTCCTTGTGCATCTAATAAATCTTTATATTTAATCATTTTGGTAATGTCTAGATTGTTTGGATGAATCATCGCCTCCATTGTCGATAACCAAATTGGTACTTTTAAATAGTGTTTTTTCCGTAATTTTTTCCAATTGGTTAATAGTGAATCTCTAATTAAGTGTCTGTGGAAATATGTCTGATTGACTTTCCCTATCTCCCATAAAAAGGCGTGCCATCCCCTCTGCAAGTCGTGGCCTTCTAACAGTAGCGTTCTTTCACTGATTAAATTCACCCAATCTTTTAACCATACTAGAGAGGCTGCTGTATATAATTCCCAATTTGGAAGTGCCAATCCACCCCTGCTCTTCAAATCCTGCAATGCCTTTAAATTTATTCTAGATTTCTTTCCTTGCCAAATGAATTTAACAGTTATTTTGTTAAGTTCTTCAAAAAAAATTCTATGTAATTTGATTGGAATCGTCTGAAATAAGTATAAAAATTTTGGTAGAATATTCATTTTGGTGGAAGCAATCCTACCCAATAGTGAAAGTTTCAACCTACCCCATGATTCTAGATCTTTCTTTACTTGTTGCAACAATTTATCATAATTATTCTCTTTCAGTGTCTTACAATGTGGTGTTAGCCATATTCCTAAATATTTAACTTTCTTTGTTACCTGTATTCCTATAATTTCTTCTAAATCTTTTTTCTGTTCTTCTGTTACATTTGTAGTCATTAGTTTTGTTTTCTTTCTATTGATTTTAAGTCCTGCTACCGCCCCGAATTGTTCTAGTTCTTTTATCAATTTTTGTCCTTTTACTATTGGTTCCTCCATAAAAAAGACCATATCATTGGCAAATACTTGCAATTTGTATTCTTCTTTTTTAATCTTCAATCCTTTAATCTCTGGATTTTGCCTAATTCGTGTTAATAGTGTTTCTAAAGTGAATATGAAGAGGAGGGGTGAGAGAGGGCAACCCTGTTTAACTCCTTTTTCTATTTTTATTGGGCGAGAGTATTCCCCGTTTATTATGATATTGGCCTGCTGTGTATCGTAAATTGTTTTTATGATGTTTTCAAATTTAGTGCCTAAATTCATATTATAATTTTTTTGAATTAAAAATTGCCAATTTAAGTTATCGAATGCCTTTTCTGCATCTAAAAACATAAGTGCAGTTTGTTTTTCGGGGTGGGCTTCATAAAATTCTAAAACATCTATTACTGTTCTTAAATTATTCCTTATCTGTCTCGTCGGGAGAAATCCATTTTGGTCTTCATGTATATACAAATTTAAAATTTGTTTTAGTCTGTTAGCTATGATAGAGGAAAATATTTTGTAGTCAGTGTTTAGGAGTGAAATTGGTCTGTAGTTGTTAATATATCTAAGGTCAGATTCTTCCTTCGGGATCAGCAAAATCAATGCTCCCCTCCACGAGTCCGGCATCCTGGATGCCAATAAGACATTGTTAAACACTTCCATCATGAGAGATCCAATTTGTTCCGCAATTGCCTTATATAGTTCTCCCGGGATTCCATCAGGCCCTGGGGTTTAATTATTCCCCTGATTCTCTGTTGCTGATTTCAGTTCGGACCAAGTAATATCTTTATTTAATAGTTCTATCAATGCATCTCCGATTACTTTATCTTTCATTTATCTAAGTAATTTCTTATTTTATCCTCATTGACTTCTTCTTTTTTGTATAACTCTTCAAAGTATTTGTGTACAATGTCTTTTTTCTTTTCTATCTCTTGTTGTATGTTGCCCTTCTCGTCTATTAATTGGTATATCAATCTCTTTTCTTTCTTTTTTTTAATTTATAAGATAGCCATCTCCCTGGTTTATTAGCATATTCAAAATAAATTTGTTTAGTCATTTTCAAATTTATTTCCATTTTTTCTTGTTCAATTAAGTTCAAATTATGTTTGACTGTTATTATCTGATTTAGTACTCTTTGATCTTTGGGGATCTTTTGTAATTGGGTTTCTAATTCCTTAATTTGTTGTTGTAATTTATTTTATTGAGCATATTTTCCTTTGTTTCTCATGGCATTATAAGAGATTGTTATACCTCTTATAACTGCCTTCAGTGTATCCCAAATATTTTGTTTCGAGGTTACATCATTATCATTTTCCTTTAGAAAATAGTTTAGTTCCTCAAGTTTATTAGTATACTCTTTTTCTCTTATTAATTGGGTGTTTAATGTCCATCTTTTCTTTGGTTTTTCCCTACCTTTCCAAATTATTTGAATTGGGTTATGATCAGCCCATTCATTTGGTAAAATTTTGATTCCTTTTATTTCATTTGCAATTTCCCCATTCATCCACGCCATATCGATTCATGTCCATATTTGATGCGGGTTAGAGTAAAATGTAAATTGTTTTTCTTCAGGGTATAGTCTTCTCCATAAGTCCACCAAATTTAACTCTTTCATCATTTCCTTACATGTCTTAGGAAACTCTCTTTTTCCTTTTTTGTTCTTCCTCACATTACTATGGTCCTTTTGGTAATCAGCAATAGAGTTAAAATCTCCTATAATACAGATATTCCTTTTTTCAAATCCTATTATTTTTTTGATGTAAATATTTAAAAAACTCTTTCTGATCTTCGTTTGGGGCATAAATTACTACTAATGGAATTGAAATGGTATTGATTGAGATCTGTATAACCAGAGTTCTTCCTTCTGGGTCTGACCAAACTAAATCTGCTTTCAGATAATCTTTCACGTATATTGCAATCCCTTTCTTTTTTTTTTTATCTGCTGGTGCAGTAAA